ATACAATCTGAAGAGCCTCGAGAGATTCCAGGGCGTGGTGATGTGGTCTGCCAAGTTCATCCCAGATCTGGCTGACGTGGCTTCTCCATTTAACTGACTGCGACATAAGGAAGTTGAGTGGAACTGGATAGATGATTGCAAAGCGTCGTTCTTACAGCTGAAGTCCGTCCTCGCTTCAGAACTAATGCTGGATCTGTGGAGACCTCTGGTCGTCCATACCGATACCAACGACTCAAGTGGGGGGCTTTCCTCCTGCTGGACAACATGTTGCAACAGTGGCCACTATTACACACAATCGTTGGTGCGAGCTGGTCCTTAAAAGCTCCTGAACGCAATATAAAGCACTACATGCACTACGGAGAAGGAATGCTTGACGGTGATATGGGCACAAGAAAAGTGGCGAATCTACATCGAGGGAAGCTATTTCTAAGTAATCACTGATCACCAGGCCCCTTGCTTGGCTCTTCAAGAAGGCTCGATTTACATAGTTCGCATTTTGAGAACTGTTATTGCAGGCGTTCTCCTTCGATATACCACCGTCTCGGTGTTCTCCATCTCGTTCCTGTGTCGATCTCATGAGGGCCCAGTGCTTACGGTTGTCCAATGCCATAAACCACAAGCAACAGCAGATGCGTCTGTAGCTGACATGTCACAGCTTGACCCTACCTCATACAACGACAGGAAGAACCAAAATGAGACCTGCGCTGCTCCACGTTGTGGGTGCCCACATACTAGAGACCCAATCGATTGGATCGTAATATGACGGCTGTGATAAATAGTTTCACGTGCTGTGCGTCCATGTCTAAAAGAAAGGGCGTCTTCTCTTCCGGACTGGAAAAAGCGTTGGTCAAAAAAGTTAGACAAAGCTCGGTTATCCAGATGTTGGTCATTTTAGTAATAAATGTTGGTCATTTTCTAAAAAATTTACCCAGTGTTGGACACCTTGTGACCAAGTTGGGAAGTTGGTATTTACACAGGTGAATCGCATAACTGTTTTGCAGAAAGAGTATAATTCTGGGTAAAAGGCGGTAGTACAGATAACATTTTCTACAACCGTTGGCTAAAATGAGACAAGTTTGCCCACATATCAGGCGAGAATAAACGCAGCTGAGTAATCTGTTGGCCCAACAGTTTGCCTGGTACCCAGCGTTGGGCAAAATAATTGCCCAGCGTTTTTACAGTGCAGAAGCACCCCTTTCTTGGCAGAAAAGAGATAGGGTCTGGGCAGGAAGTATTTCAACTAACCGAGGGCGTGGTCTACCTGTGTACTTGTACGGAAAAGCCTGTTCACTGAGCAGCGAGTCTACGTCCCGTTCCGAATGCACAAGGAGCTATTCGCGCACGCAGTGCTTTTCCCGCCGCTTATGAACCTCGAGGTGGACAGAGAGGGCGCAATTTTCCTTGCAACGCGGGGTCTTTGGCGGGAACTACACTTCGTTGGTTAAGAAACAACTATGAAATGCATACGTTACAATTGGATCGCTACCAACAAAGTGAATGCTTTCCACCAACATGGCTCTTTTCAGCGGAAGGGGGGGGGGTGATTCTGCTCAAGCCGCATTAAAAACAAAAACAAACCATCTCATGTTACAGCACTCCTCACATTTTTTCCAACCTCCATGGTGAAAGTAATCCGTTTTTGAACCTCTTCGATCTTGTGTTGGTCACAGCCACAGATGTGACCTTCTTTTGCTAGTTACATTGGGAATACTAAGTCTTGGTGTTGGAGTTGTGCCTTAACTTCGTAATAACACGGCAACATTTTTATCTCACTTTCTGCAGCTTACTCTGAGTGGGAACAAGAGAGGGCGTGTTTTACCACAGACGATCACAAGTAGATTTAAGTTTTCGACACGACGAATAGGCAGAAGGCATGGTCTTACGCTCGACAAACGTTCCCTCCAGCATTGTCGCGCTTGCTCAGAACCATTCTCTTTTATTAGAGTCACATAAGCTGGAAGTGAACAACCGTAACAAGGGTGCATATTTCCTCTTTGATGACATTCTTAAATTTAGAATTGATAAATTAGGTAATCAGCTGACGGCAAAAAAACGAAGAAGTTACAATACTTCATGGAAACTCTCAAGAAATCCGAAGATTGCGTAGAGCTCCTACAGTCCATAATTTTCAAACTTGGACCTCTCAAACGTGCTTTGGTCTATTGCTCGCATTTATATAAACACCCTGAAAGTTCGCACGTGGTGATTGTTCCTCTCCACCGTGGGGGAAAATGTGGGGCCACCCCCCGCACATTGTAAGTTATAGAGAAATCATATGATGGTTTGACCGTGGATGAAGGGAAAGACCTTAATGGTTTGACTAAAGGTCTCTCAACACGATCTGGAGCCAAAGGTTACCCGATGTTGGGGTCAGATTGAATTCCACACTGTCCCAGCTCGCGATTAAATGCGCTGCCAGTGTGCTTACATACTTAGGCTACACCATATCCAGTGGTACGAGTGGCAGAGTTGTCACGCGTCGCTGAATTTTGTGACTCGAGTTGTCTCATTTTTTAATGCACACGCAGTGACTCGAGTCGAGTTATTAGGTAAAGAAGTCTAGTGGAGTCACAGTGTGTAGTCGAGTCGAATCACGTATTTACCTTGAGCCAATTCGAGTCACAAATAATTGAGCATAATAAAACAAACATAAGAGAAACGGTTTTGTTTTCCTTTTTATCCACATCTGGGCCACAGCATTTGGTGACATCACATTTTACTCTTCATGAAAATCAAAAAGGTACATGTGATTGCAGCTCAATGAAGGCAGTAAAGTTAATTCCTGTGCATACGGAAATGGGACCCATAGGCCTATTCTTTACAAGATTGCATAGGCCTAGACTTCAGGAAAATCAAGTCAGACATTATAACAGGTCTGCTAGTCGGGCCTTGTGTGGTCATAAATTTAGCAGGCGTTCCCAACTGGATGCTATATTGGCTAATAGGAATTACCAAGACAATGATGAAACCAAGAGCTGAGAAATGCATTTTTAAAGTCCATGACATGATGTATGTTTGCTGTACCACGGAGGAAGGACAACAGACATCGACGGGCTGCGATTTAGGGCATACATGCAGGATACTGTATTCGCAACATGATGCCAACACGATAAACCGGCACCGTCATTGCAAATATTTCCCGCAAAGCTGTTTTCTTTATTTAGACTGGAGTCCTATTAGCTTTCCTCAACACTGGTCTTCTGATGATAGACGTACTCAATCAAGTCATTTGTTTACAGTTATTATTTGAGTCGAGACATTTACCCGTCGGGATTCTAGTCAAATCACCAGAACTCGTGACTCGAGTCGGACTCCAGTTGACTCGAGTAATTACGGTTCTGATGAGTGGTCTTCATGATTCCAATCAAAAGTACGTACGGCAGGATCATGGAACCCTATCGCCATGACTCAGACGATGGCAAATGACATTTCTTATTCTCCACGGGGAAAGCGTCTCTTCTCTTTTCAAGGCCGGAGGATACATGCATGTCCCAAACAGGCAAGGTTAATCACTTCTGAAAAACTAGGGTGGGGGCAATACCAATGCGAGCGCGAAGCGCTTATAGGTTTGTGTCCGGGCCCGCTTAAAAGCTGTGATGATCTGTGGGGCGACAGATTGCAATTTTTGACCTTTTTTTCGATTTTAAACGCATTTTCAAACATTGTTTTCCACTTTGGAGGCGTTAGTGAGCAATGATGAGCTGTTAAATTAAATATAATAAAAATCAGGGGTATTGACATATGAAATACCCCACCTTAAAAAGCAAGGGGGGGGGATAACCGTCCCGCGTCCCCCACTGATCGACGCCAATGACTACTGTATACACGAGGGAGCCATTTTTTCCTCGAGATTTTTGCATTGTAACTAAAATGTGTTTGATAGTTTTCTCGGGAGTTTTCATTTCTTACTGGACAAATAGCGCCCTCATTCAATCTGTAATGCACGAAGTGATTGTTTTCCGGGGGCTAGGAACAGCGATGTTATCCTTTTAAAAAAAACGATGTTCGTGGACATACGAACTGGTAGGGGAGTATTCGTTTAATTTGACAATTTCACTTTGGGGCAACTGCTCAAATGGCTTCCCGTGGGGCATTTGTGGTTGATTTCCCATCCTCCAGCTACTTGCAAGAGCTAAATCTACAGAAGACTCAAGGCGGCAAGATGTGGACATGGGACGAATAACAATACATTTGAAAAAAAAGTTGTCGATTCCATACTTGCCTGAAAAGAAGCCTTATACTTGCAGCTTCTCAGGCGGGTAACTGCTCAAACAATTTCTCATTCAAAATTCTGTCGAATTTTCCTGTCTAAGCTACTAAACTTCCAACGGTATAACTCTGTTTCTGCAAAGCAAAGCTTCCTAAGGGGGCATCACATCAAGTAGTTGTTCCTCTTTACAAAGTCAAAAAAACCCATGAATTACATACACGTAACCTATGAGTATCACCACATTCCTGACAGTTAAAAAGCAACCAGCATTCTGACTGAAATACTAAACATCATACATAATTTTCAATCTAATGGCCGGAATCAATGTCAAATCCCTTGCGACCTTGACCTCAAGTTCTCCGGCGATATTCCCGATCAGCTTCTACCATCCATCACTACGGTTTGTCGAAGTCTTTCGCGCGATGTTTAAGCTGCGGTTGCTTGGCAACGGCGTGGCAGTGGGTATTGCATCCGAAAAAAATTCTCCTCGATCACAGAAAGAATTTGGCCGACATGAGAAACACTCGTGATTCTTGTAATATCGAAAAATTTCCACACTGGTTACTCTCGTCACAGCCTCATAAAATACATAGAGATCCGGCTGGATACCCGCGAAAGTTATACCCAATCGATTTCACACTGTGTATTGGGAACGTCATTGAACCCGGTCTAATTGATTGGACTAAAAACTCGTCTGGTGCCCAGTTCCGCGAAATGTGGACATTAATTTTAACAGGAGGGATACCAGACTCTCTATTGATAAGGAGATAACAGGTACGTGCATTACACATTCTCTAACAGGCTGGATGGATTGATGTCGTTCGGTCGTTTACTGTTAGTGTTAGCATGTTTAGCGGGGCTTTTCATCGGTGTTTTCCGTGTTCCACGAAGTGTCTTCTTTCCGAGGAACTTCCTGCATAGTCTGTAAGATTCATTGCGGATTGTCATTAGTAATCTCCGCTCAGACGTTGAAATCGAGAAAAAATGTGGCGCCGTTGTCAGGTGGCTTGATAGCGAGGCCACCGCTATCACCGTGCCGGCACGAACAGGTAGGTGTAGGCCTAGGCCTATGTGTTTTTCCAATGGCGGCCAGGCTGAGTGCCGGGGCACATCTTCGTTTTCATACTTAAGGCAGAATGCAGAAATAGTTCAAATACCGTGCCTTGGGCGTAAATCAAAAGAGGATTTGGATCACGTGAGAATAAACTGCCTCTTAAATAAGGGCTCTGACCCCTCTAATCTAGTGTGGGCTGTCATTCAGGAAATAAACCTTTTCGACGTTCGCAGTGCATTATGGATATGGATAACAAACAAGCAATGCATTTTATGGACAACCCTATGGGGGAAGTGAACCAGTCAAAAATCAATTTACAGTTTTCTACAACATATTTTTTATGTATCTACTCATCAACTCACAGATGCATGCGTCTTATGTATCAGATTATACAAGAAACATTTTCAAATCCGTTTCCAAATGTTTGTAAGAACAAATCAACCTTAATTGCCCTTTTTAAGAGCACCAGTCACGCTACAGGCTGAAAATGAACAAGACTGGTCAAAGTGGGATGAATGAGCTGCAAGTCATAATTTGATTGGACAACACGAGAACATTAATATTCACGAAGTAGTCAAAGCACGGTCCGTGACAAAAAGTGGAAGAAATTCTCCAAATTTTCCTTCTCTGCTAAGCTTTAAACTTTGAAGTTTTCTGAATATCTTCGTCCCAAATCAATAATCCAACACTTTGTCAGAAGGGGGTGGCTTGAATTGGAGTACGACATAAAATGGAGACAGATTAACGTTTTCAGGTACATTTCTCCCTTAGAGTTGTGTATAAAATGCATTGCATGTTTGTCATCCAAACCCACAATGCATTGCAAACGTTGAAAAGGTTAATTGTACCCACGTACCAATCGTGAACACAGAACAGATATAGACATAAAATTCCATGCAGTGCCGATGCCATGGGTATTAAATGGTGACAGATTTTCAAGAGAACCATGTTATCAGGTTATAAGCATTGTTACTGCTGGTACATGTAGTTGGTGAAAAAGCTATATTTACAAGTGATATTTAGCATGTTTAGTATTAATTCCGGAATGGTAGGGTACTACTCCATGGACCTTACTGAAGCTATCTTTTTTGGGGGTTTTGCACGCTATGGCATTTTAAAAGCTGCCTAATTAGCCTACCAGATGAGATATATCTGTTTGCGCTTGCTAAAGCAATTCTTCTCCTAAAGACCCTATTAATAATAGCTAACACATAGAACTTCTATTATCAATTGTATTTTGTAGTGTTTAAGCTATCATATTATTGGCAAAATATGAGGTTCTTTCTACAATCTTTACCTCTCATCCCTCGACGATCCGCACACGTCTGCATTCTCTGTGGCCGTACATCACGTGACAAAACAGGCACAGTGCATTCACGTAACAAATGTTTACGTTGCTTTGGAGTTTGGAGACCAGTCCCCATAATTTTGACTACTCCTGCCAAGATTATTTATAGAGACGTCTGGGAAATCTGTGGTCAGGGAGCCACACTAATCACATTTCAGCTTGACCATTTTGCAAGTGACAGGGCGGTAATATCAGGACGTGTTTGGTACGCGTGATTAATGCTGCATTGTCAAGCTAGCTGTTTACACACGTTTGAGAAGTATGTACTTCAAGGAGTGATAATATCTTGCAAAGATTTAGTTGTGAAGTTGTGAGACTAATAAAGTTTCTGCTTTCCGTACAATTTAGGGATTTATTTATTGCAAAATGGTCGAGCCGATATGTTCGAAAAGGCAATAAGTACATTTAGGGTCCAAATTCTTCAGACCGCTGTTTTTTATGGATGAGGTTTGGCAAGTTCTACAAAATACAAACCATGAGACAACAATGTACTTGGGAGTTATTTCCTGAAGTGAACACCTTTGAATTAATTCACAGTGTCTGATGAAATGAGGGGAGTCATGACACTGATGACCATGCCCATCCTTCATCTCAATCACAGTTGTATGATTAAAGTCCCGAACGTAATAGTAATAACCTGTAAAGTAAAGCCAATTATCCAAGCCCAGTAAAAATTATTGGGAAATAATAATTTCTGCTGCAATTTTTGGACAGAGTTGTAAGTGGTGACAGGTGATAATGTTCTATATTGAAACAGGGTTCCCGTGGCCTGGAGAATCATGGAAATTTGTTTTCGTTTTCCAGGCCTGTAAAAATAACTGAAGTTATTGAAAAGTCGTGGAAATTTTCAAACATTGTGTGCAATTTCTATTATCAGAAATGAGTGCATAGAATGCGTGATTTTATTTACAACTTTACAGGTCCGAATAGTCCAAGAAATTTCGTTATTGGGTCATAGATTTCCATCATTTTGTCATGGTATTGATACGATGTTCTAGGCACAGATACAGTGCTACATGTACATATCAGATGTCACTTTCCTCAATTCAGAGTGGATGTGAAGAAGTGAAACTTATGAAAATAAGAAATATTAATTCCTCTCCCAACCGATTTTGTTCCGGTGTGAGTGATTAAAAATTAATTTGAAATGGCCACAAGAATTACCTGTAGATGATAATTAAGTTGATAAATAGTGTGATCAAATTTCCACTTCGGCATGGACGAACCCCATTTCCAAAGATTATGCTTGATCTGCTCACGCTTAGCAAATAGTCTGTGTTGTTGACACTGTACAACCACTTCATAAACGTACATTAGGAAATTGCAGGTGACATCTCATGTGTCAAATGGGTAGGGAAAACCCCCCTCCCTCTCCCCCCCTCCCCCCAAAAAACCTGATATGACCAATGCTCTGCAATCTTGCGATGTCCCACATAGGCTTACCAAAGTGGCATTTAATGAACCGTCACCGAACAGAATGTATACTTCCCAGTGAATTTTTTCAACAAAACATCTTCTCCTCAGTCATGTCAGTTAGGTCTTGAATTTGAGGGAATCTTCAATATTCAAGACTTTGTTGCCTGCCTGTGCGGTAATGGTACATAAAGTAGGCAGTGATCACTGCAGTGTCTGGTACAAGTTTGGAAGTTTCCAAGTACATGTATCATGCAGCTGTATGACTACAAGCTAACAAGAGAAGCTTGCATTAAATATCATGCCAGAAATTTGTGGGCTTTTTCGCAAAATGCAGTGCACATAGAGAAAAAGTTTAGTTGGGTTGAATGCCATTGTTGGTAGTTAATGTTATTATTTCTACATGTATAAAGTAGGAAGCAATGGGACATCATATTATCTTTTCTGTAATATGCACCTGTGTGTCAGTATAAAGAGACAGTTGATTAATCAAGAGCTTTTTGAAAGTCAACTTATAGTAACTGGCAGATATTAAGAATGTTTGGTTTGGATAAACACTGCATAACATACATGTAGATGTTGCATATACTCTTGCTCAAGTAGACTTTGGGCAATCAAAAACTTGTTTGAACTAAGCATTGGAGACAGAGGTACATACATGCACTCCTGAGAATATTTCAATCACAAAACTATCAAGTTTCCAGTTTCATGTGCGATAAGTTCTTTTCCTCTTATACTGACTTCATTTCCTGTCTGCTGTCAGTGTTTCTTTCATTTTGTTCACAGCAAGCATGTTTGGGAGAAGAGATAGTACAAATTAGAAATGTACGTATATGTGACTAAAACACTGGTATCCGGAGACAAAGTGTACACGCACCTACAATTGTAGTTTCACATGCTGTATTCAAAGGGTCTTCCATGGACGGTATATTTCATGTTCACGTCAAACTTTCACGTACACTTGTATAGATGTTGACCTTGTATGCAACCACTGGGGTTCATCTTGGTCACATTTGTTCTACACATATTCAGACCACTTGAAAGCACTCTCATTTTGTCATGCTTCGTCAGTGAAATATAATTTGCTTTCATTTTCTACGGAATTGAATAAGTCTCTGTCAAATGACTCCACTTGCCACAGATTGTCACGTACATGTACATCAGTGTATTCAGCATTAAATTTGCATGGCGTTCATAGGCTCTGCTGTACATTGAGGAAATGTCATGCAATATATGCATGTTTAGAATATGGCACAGTTTTTCTACAAAAATTGCCATCCCCGGGACTGTAGTCCATATATAGGATATTCCACTCCCCTGCCCCTTATCACAGAACAGGGACTCTTATTAAATGAAAGTACTAACAGAATGTAGTCCATTGGAATCATGTTTAGTGCATTGGTGAACTTGTTTATTTCTGCAAATTTGGTCATGTCTCTGGGCTTGCTTCCTGTTATCAAGTAGATAAACTGCAGTGCCGGAAGCACATTTGATGGCACGTACATGTACAGTACATGTAGTGCACTTGTACATGTAAATCCTTGTGTTGTTGCTGTGCAGAATCTCTGGAGTATTTTACTTCGGATGCACATAGATATACACATACGTGGATGCAGTATTTTGGTCTGAAAAAGGTTATGCACAATTTGCACCTGTACATGTATGTGTGTTTTTTCTTGCATAAAGTACATACATACACATGTACATGTACATACATGTACATTGGCACTGCAGTTTCTTAAAGCTGTATACACGTGTACATGTACATGTACATGTAAGCCTAAAATGGGCATGTACATGTGCCATACTCACTTGAGAAAGAGTTCTGTACCTAAACATCACTTTCAATGCTTTGCATAAACCCTTTGAGACTGGTCTGAAACATTCTCAATGTTTTCCTGGTAAATTCTTCTACATGTATATTGCATACACTTTGACTTTTAGGACATGTCATTTTTTGATGGCTGATTTGTCACTGCAGGGAAAAATTATTTATGTCCATGCATTGAAGTGTTGCCCTAATGGGTCTCTTTTGACACAACTTTAGAGCTCTTGTGCAGTGTTCATTGTCCCTGATGCCCAGGATATACCCAAAAAATATCTGTGTCTACCTACAATATCTTATTCATGTACATGTTCATGTAGGCTATAGCTAATGTATAGTGTCGAAGTCTTATGTGCCGTAACTCAGTGGAAAAAATTGTACTTCAAATTTTTGTAGTGCTCTGACTCTA